ATGTGAGTATCCAAAGCTAGTTTCATCATGCTCTATTTTTTGATGTCTCCATCAGAGAACGAAAAACTCTTTGTTCACTGACACAGCTGAGATGACAGCACGTTACCTAGCAGATAGTCAGTGCTCAGTGAATACATGCCTTTTAGAAAATTCATGTTGCCATAGTGCATATGATGGACTAGCTAGTGAGCCTAAACAAAAGCAAACCAAAAAAGACCCTCATCACACTTAATTATACAAGTTTAAAATGTGTTCTCATACGCTAATTTTTTTACATTTAAAAATATTTTATGATACAGTTCCAAAGGCTCTGGGGTTGCCTGTGGCCTTCCCCAAGGTCCCTCTCCCCCTCATTGATTTCACATCTGTTTTAAAATGGATGTCCTTCCTGGACAGTCACAAGTCCATCATGCTGTTATTGTGGCCCGACAATGTAAGCACCATCTTACTGTTAGGATAGTTTGAATTCTTTCACTGGGAGTCCATCTTTGGTCTGTATGCACAGACATATAGCACTTTGTCTCCCTATCTGAACATGTCAGTCCCCATTACACTTCCATTATAGATCCCTTTAAATACGGAACCAGTGAGCGCAGCCCACAACAAAGTCAAAATAATAAATTTTCTTCAATTTGAAGTTAACAAAAATGTTACAAAAATAAAACTACATCACAAGAATGGTGAAAGTGGAAATTGAAAACCTTGTAGATGCTAGAGCATGACTCCTATGGCGCTGAAGGAATTACAATAAAAAACTAGACCATCATTACTCATGATATGTAACAAAACAGTGTTGAAATAGGCATTTACACTCTTAAGTGTCTACAAGCAATCAATCTCTTATGGCTGATTAACTGATGAATCACAAGAACTTACTGGGAGAGGTAAGAACTAGGAAGTGCGAAAAGATAAGATTTACAACAAAAATAATTAGATTTGACACTACAAAATTGCAAATTGAAACAAGAAAGCTATTCCATAAGAAGATGAGCAAAACAATCCCTAGTCACATCAGCACTGAGATTTTTGATGGAAGTTACATTAGAGCAAGCATGTGGTATCTGACCTTGTGGGATTGGCTTATTTCCCTTCACATAATGGTCTCCAGTTCAGCCCATTTGTATTTCATTATTTTAATGCTGCTATTTTTAAAGAGAAAGGATTGGATATGAGAATGTGGAGAGGTAAAAGAGAAAGAACTTTCTGTTAGGGATACAGCAAAGCAGTAGTTCCTTTCCATAAGAATGCAGAGTTGAATTGTCTGTAGACTTAGGAGGGTACACATCTGAGACTGAAATTTCTTGTTTAGTACAAAGCTGACTCACTGCCAAGAACTCAAATTCTTATCACTGTTAATTAAACAAAGAAAGAAAAAAAAAAGCAGTAATGTGGCAAAGCTGAGTACTAGCCTGGAGTACTAGCTTGCACAGGTTTTACAGCTGGGGATGTGTGAACCAACTACAGCAGGGAGCCACTTTTTATTGTGTGTGCCTGCAGTGGGAGCTCACAATTTTTTAGCTTAAAAAAAAAAAGTTGCAAAGGTTTTTATAGCAAAGAAAGACAAAGATTTCCAAAGGACAAATTTCAGAACATGGGAATGATAATAATGGAAACCCAATATAGCAATAATAAAAGAAAGCTAGTACTTTAGGTATTAGCTGGGTGTTTACAGAAAGGACAGCTGAAACACTCATCATTGTAATTACATGTTTAGGCCCCTTAGGCCTACAGGATAAAACTTAGAAATCTCAAACTTCTTTAAGACTTTTGTACATGCCCAAACCATACTGCACAATACAACATCTTTCCCTAGCTTATATTTGCAGCTTTTTCAATTCTCCTTCACTGTCTTAGCAGTTCTCACAATGTCTTTTCAAACACCAGTTTTGGACTTTGCTTCCTCTGCTTCTGTGACCTGAGATGCCTTCTCACCATTTAGCTCTAGTAATTTATTCTCCATCGTTACTGAACACATTGGTTCTTGAGAACTCAGTTTAGAAATTACTTCCTCCAGGCTGGACTGCCTCCTCACTCTCCTTGTTTCCCCCTAAATCAAGCTGACTATTCCTCCTATGTGCTTACCAATTATAACACAACCCAGTTTGTCATCATCTGTTTATCTTCCCTCTAGACCATAAGCTTCTTCAGGGATGTGTTTTAATTATATCTACAGCATAGGAGTGGCAATACATGCAGGAACCCTAGCGAATGCTATGTTGAACTGATGTGCTCTTTACCTGCAACAGGCATTTAACTATATGCCCAGCACATTCTAGGCATCAACTCATTTACTCCCAATAACTCCATGAAGTACTATTTTTAATCTGTCTTACGGGTTACAGAATTGAAACAATAATTAACATACCCAAGGCATTAATCAGTACTGAGATTCCAGTGCAGCTTGCTTCAAAGCCTGTACTCCCAACCACTGTGCTACACATGCAAAACTACCTTACCTGTAACTGGTAAAGCTAAGTCATGTTCAGTCTCATTTCCCAAGATCCTATGCCAGGTATGAAGGACGTGTGGAGAAATGCAATTTTTTTAATGAATATGACATTTTTCTACAAATGGATATTACTTTCCTTTACAGAGATCAGATGCTTTTTATAATCCTTTTAAAAAATTTTTTAATAACATTTTTATTTTGAATTATGTGGTATAAATTTGTATAGGCTGGGATTTCTCCCCCAAACTCTCACCCCCCTTCAGATTTTTTCCCATTTTGTTAAAAGTGTAGTCCCTCATAAGGAATCATAATTCTATCAGTCTCTTATTTAAATGTACCCCGACATTGTTGGCACAGTGTCAGACAGTCCAGCATCCCATTGTCTACACATGTCCAACAGTTTCACTGGGAATCCTGTATTTTTTTTTAATAGAACATCCTTACCAGTTAAAGCTCCCTAACTTTAAAGATTTCTTTCTTTATCTACTTATCAATTATTGGAAAGGCAGATTTACAGAGAGAAGGAGATGCAGAGAGATCTTCTATCTACTGGTTCACTCTCCGGATGGCTGCAGTAGCCAGAGCTGAGCTAATCTGAAGCCAGGAGCCAGGAGCCAGGAGCCCTTTCCGGCTGCCCCATGCTAGTGCAGGGTCCCAAGGTTTTGTGCCATCCTCTATTGCTTTCTCAGGCCATAAGTAGGGAGCTGGATGGGAAGTGGAGCATCCAGGATACAAACTGGAGCCCATATGTACAAGGCAAGGACTTGGCCATTGCACTGGGCCCAAAGTTCCCTAATTTCAAATAGCAACGCAAATAAATGAGTTGATGCCACCAAGACAACAAACTCCCATTTCAGTGAAAAAAAAATTTTTTTTAATCCATCAGATTGTTAAAACTTGTTTTGAGAATAGGAAGAAATCTCATATACTGTTGAAGCAAGTTTAATTTTTGAGAGTACCTTTGCAGTCTACTTGAAAATGTAGAATCACTGATTCTATTTCTGTTGTGGGAATTTGAAGAATAAGCCAGTGGATGTAAATGATCTCTCACTCTGCTGTTTAAATGCACAAACCTGGGCTGGCGTGGCTAATCCTCCACCGGAAAGTGTCAGCACCCCACCCAGATACTGACTTGTGTCCTAGCTGCTCCATTTCCCATCCAACTCCCTGCTAATGTTCACAGGAAAGCAAAGGAGGACAAGTCAAGTCTTTGGGCCGCTGCACCTATGTGGAAAAACCCCAGAAGCTTCTGGCTCTGGATTTGCTTGGCCTTGGCTTGCTATAGCCACTTGGGGAACCAACCAATAAATAGAAGACCCCTTTTGTCTCTCCTTCTCTCTCTGTAAAAAATCTGCCTTTCAAATAAAAATACCTTTAAAAAATGTATTTACTGGCTTTTAAAAAAAAATCAACTGTAATATCAAAGTTCCCCATTAAAAAAAAAATAAAAACCAGAAGTGTTGATCTGTCCCCCTTGCTGCACAGAACTGGTTCAGGCACTCAACCGTAAGGTTATCAAAAGCTATCACACTCAAATGTTTTTTTGGTGCTTGAAAACATTTTTTTTTCTTAAAGATCAGGAGCTACAAAACTCAGAAAAACCTCTTAAATGATGTTTCATACAGAAAGGTCCATAGTACCATGTTGATTTAAATGGTTTACTGGCACTTCATTTTGAAAACTGCAACTGTTGCTCTTAAATAAGGAGAGAAGAGTGATTTTCTTATTGTAAGTTGTTTATTGTAAGATAATTTACAAATCTCTTGCTGTCTGTAGTACATTCAACAATGGAACAAGTTTCTTCTCACAAAGACAGCAGCAAGTTAAAAATAAAATCAGCTGGCCAAACTTTCCCTCTTTACCTGAAAAACAAAGAAGAAAACAGTTAAAAATCAAACAATGTATTTATGGCAATCAGTTACATCAAGAGAGGACCCAACTTTCAATGTGCTTCTTTGTGATTTGTGCAAGTTTCTGTGAAATGTTACCGTATACTAGAGGCTCCCAAGTTTCAGTGTAGGGAACTCTGCAAAGAGTTTGTGAGAACAAACACAACTATTCTCAAAATAGTTATTTGTCTCTATATAATGAATTTTTTGATGTGTGAAATCAGTAAAATAAACACAGGAAAAGAACCTTACTGTTCTCTGTTAAATCTCTGTTAAATCGTTAAGGGATAAAATGTGAAATCACTATTCTTTATCGATCTGATTTTAGTATGTATGTTGCCGAGGTGAGCACTATCAATCTATATTTAAAACAACAAATTAATACCAATTCTCTATCCTTGAAAGTTATTCCCTTACCCACATTTCCTATGACAAATACATTTAATAAATGTAGAAAAACACCCAGCCCACAGTATTGCTTCTATGTCCCCAGTGCTTGGCTACTTGAATCATCCTGTCACTCTAAATCGCTCAGAGAAGCAGTTTTTGCTAAGTAGTTTTCAGGCACACCTGACCACATGTCTTTTGTAAAAGAGTTTGGGAAGAGCATGTCAACTTTACCTCTTGTCTGAGGGTGGAACTTGATTTTCATTAATCCCTGGTTATTATATTAGAAGAAAAACACAAAACAAGCAGGTCAAAAAGCAATCCATGCCAGTTAATCATAGTCCACTTTGTTCATTTACTACTTTGAACATATCACATAAATACTTACCCTTTAAAACCAACTTAACAATTGTTAAAAACAAATTTAAAAAGTTATAGAATTCAACCTGGTCAGAAGCAACAAAAACATATTCATGCAATCAGGCAAGACTGAATACTTATTTATTATTTTTATTACAATGTGGCCAAATCTGTTTACATTAAACAGCTCATAGAACATTTAAGGTCACTTATAAAAACAACATGAACTTCAGACTCCACAGCTAACTTCCTATATACAGATTCAAAACTCTCTTCTAAAAAGTGAAAATAGCAGTAAATCTCCAGCTGCATGGATTCTTTTTTCTAAATTCCTTTTTTTACGTCCAAAGCTCTCTCTCCTCCCTTTCCCTTGATTTTGTTACTTTTAAGTCAAGTTTCCGGTCTGATGTTCTGTTTTGCAAGAGCTGGAGCCTGACAGTGTAGACCTTAACATCTGGTTTTTCAAGATTCAGAAAGGAAAATGCTCTCAGTCACGCAGCCCATGACTCTTCTAATGCAGGTCTTTTCCCCTCAAGTGTCCTAACACTTCACAGCCAAGAAGAAATCAGCTGAGAACCATCAGCAAGAAAAAATAATTATTTAATTCTTGTAATAGTCTGTATGTTATATGTGACAAGTGTGAGTCATAGGAAATGCTAACAAAACATTACTGACCAACCTGAGACATGAGGTTAGTTCTAACAAAGCCATGCATAGAATGTAAAAGATAAAAGGATGCTTAGCTGATAGATGCAACAACCAACTTTTAACAATAGTCTCCTGAGCCAATTAGATTATCCATATCTCAGCCTAGTCCTAATCTCGAAAGATTAATCTCAAGAACCAATTAAAATGTCAACCTAACAACTAACTCCCCCCCAGTCTTACATTTTCAAATACCCGATAAAATGTTATTTCTCTCTTCTGAACTTCTAGATTTATGTGAAAGTGCAAGAACAAGTGGATACAAATTTGCTAGTTCACTCCCTAGATGGCTTCAATGCTAGGGATAGGACCAGGCAAAAGCTCGGTCAGAAGTTTCATCCAGGTCTCCCACATGGTGCCAGGGACCTAAACCTTTAAAACCTACTGCTTTTCCCAGGTCATTAGCAGGTAGCTGCCCCAGAAGTGCAACAGTTGAGATACAAACATTCTCAATAGAAATACAGGATTTCATTCATTCAATATTTACTGAGGAGGCATTTAACTACTAGTTGTTGGGGATATAAAAGTAACCTATGGTCCTGTCCTAATCTCAAGGAATACATAATAAAAAAGGTAATTCCTGACACAACCTTAAGAACTAGACAAAGGGAATTTTAAGAGGGTAAAAGGGGTTACTTCACAACTGTTGAGGGGGGCAAACCTCCATGCCTAGGAAGGTAGCTGAAGATGGCCCATGTGCCTGGATTCTTGGCACTCAGGTAAGAGACCCACATGGAGCTACTGTTTCCTGATTTGAGCTTGACTCAGCACCAGACATTGCAAAATCTCTCTCTGTCTCTAGTTGCCTTTCAAGTAAATAAGTCTCTTAAAATATTTTAAATAATAGTAATAAAAAACCTAAAGGAGGTTTTCTGGACTATAGGATGAACAGGAGGGGTCAGATGAAGAATTAAGGAAGCAAGGGGTGAAAAATGGCATTTTGAGCAAAAGGAAGCACATACTGTCCTCTTTGAGATGTGAAAGGACATGATTTACCTCGAGAGGGGGCTAGATAAGGTAGCTGAGATTTGGGGCTGCCTTTCTGTGTACATGCAGAGCAACCCTGTGCCACTTTTCTGTGTGTGGGCTTGTGAGGGCATACAGAAGACCAAGGGGATGGGAGCCTGTGGGGGCGTGCAGGGACCTGGGTGCTCACATCCAGGCAGGTAGAGCAGGCCTGGGGATTTCCTCACTTGCTTGGTCCTGCACAGGGCACGGAGAGCCCTAAGTTAGAATGCTGGCCTGGTGTGTTGGTGGACTGGGCTTGCATCTTGGGTGTGTAGAGGGATAAGTTCTGAGACCAGCAAACATGCCAGGAACTTGGGCCCCTAGTGGGCAGACAGAGCTCCAGCAAACCACCCCACCGGAACACTGGACTCTAAAGGCTGGGCTGGGGAACCTGTGTGCTCCCCAGTGCAGGGACTGCACTGATCACAAAGGGGCAAGAGGGTGTGTGTGTGCGGGGGGAGACTGGTAGGGAAGTATGTTGCAGGTGAGGAAGGACTTCTGAGGGACCTCCATCGAACTGTTCACTGTACTTGCAAATAAGCGGGAGTGCTGGGATAGAGCAGTTTGGAGAGGGATGCTGGAGGACTTTTATAGGTCAGACCAACACACCAACCCATGTGGGAGACCAGTGCTGGGCTAGTTAGCAGGGAACACCGCCAATCACCACTCACACTAAAGCTAGGGCTGGGGGCTTACAAGGCAGGGCTAGATTACAATACCTACTAGTAAGAGTTGGAAAAGGGGACAGGTAAAGTTAGACTGGGCCATGAAACTAACCAGCATGCAAGAGAACTAGGCTGGGGCACATATGTGGACTTATCCCTGTAGAACCACAATTTTCGCTGTTTGGCTCAAGACCTGGGAGTAGTGATGGGCTGAGCTAGGAATGACCATGGCATGGAACCCTCCAACACTCATGAGTCCTATAGTTCAGAACAGGCCAGGCTGCTCCAGACTGCAGCACTCGTGAGCACTCCCAATAATAGGATGTGGGGCGGGATAGTCCACAACATCCACCATCATACAAAGGCCAAGATGGAGGGGGTAGACCAAGCCAGATAAGAACCTAGCACCCACTGGCACATGTAAGATCTGGATCTGGGAATAGGCCCGGTGGAGAAACTTGGGAAACCCCTGTGAGGGTCATAGCTCCCACTGGTGAGCATGTGATTCAGGACTGAGTGTTGGTCAGGCCAGACAAAGCTGTTCCACCTGTTGGCAAGTGTGTGGGCTGATTTTGGAGGGGGACAGACTGGCTAGGCCAGGGCCAAACCCAAGCCCACTGCAGCAGTACACATTCCATATTCTATCTCAATTACTTGTATGCTTTTTGGCTTGCTGAAATAGGAACTCTTCAGCGAGGATCAGATCCTCATGGTGGTACCTCATGTTGTGTATGGCAGATCGAGTACTCAGCTTAAGGCTTCTCTGAATAAAACCCCTGTGTGAGCTTAAACTATGTTCCAAACATTAAACTATCGCAGCAATCAAAAAGTTTTCCAGCAAGAGAGGTATTGAATCTGTTAAAAACTGATAAAAAAATTAATACAGTTAAAAAAAAAGAAAAGTGCTCTTGAGCAAAGCAGTATACTATCTTACAATCTTAGGATACAGATATAAAAATCTTAATAATTTTTAAAAAATTCCTAGACCCTGCCATGATCCAATGCATAAGATCAAACACAAAACCAGTTCTTGCACTCAGAAAGGTTGGCTTAAAATGCTTTAAATTCTACAGATGGATTTTTATAAATGATGCTATCTGCATGTTTGTTCCCAACACTTTAAAGGAAGCCTATTTTTACCAAATCTTTATGTCCTGAGAGTAAGATGGCAAGATCCAGCAATGGAGCATTTCAATTTTAGCAGACAAAACACTTCTAAGCATGCGAGTTTAAATAGGCAGACAAACAGAAATGAAGAAAATTCTCACAAGGCAATAGACGACAGCTACTTACAGAGCTGCAGCACCGGAGATAATTTCAATCAACTCCTTGGTGATGACAGCTTGGCGGGTACGGTTGAATGTCAAAGTCAGCTTGTCAATCATCTCAGCTAGGGATAAAACAAAGATTAGACAACAAAATCTAAAACTAGAGAAGAGCAACTTGCTAATTAACTTCTGTTTCATTTAAATATAAGAGATTCTATTTCTTTTTGGGTACCAATGTTGGGCTCTCTATAAACATTTTAATGAAGATACTGTTATATCTTCCGACAGGATATTTTTTCACAGTACTTGCTATGTGATTGCCTTGTATCAAGTACGTGCACCTCCCTGTAGGGCAGGGAATACTTCATTTACATTTTTGACATTCCTCTGGGTAATGGACTCATCAGAGGACATACTCTGTGCACCACAGCGCACTGTCCAGCAAGTCCATGCAAAGCACTTACAAGCATTCTTGCTGGCGTTGTCCATGGCTGTCATTCTTGCACTCTGCTCACTGGTGGTCGACTCCTTCAGCGAGTAGTAGATGATGTTGGCCAGGTTATATTCTTGATAATTTTGCAGCACATCGGCATCGACATCATCATAGATACTCATGCTCTCTGTTAAGGCAAGCAATGCATTTCTCTGAAGCCATACAGTACAAAAACAGCTTACTATACAAACCTTAATAATTACAGTACAGAATCTGTTTCCAAAGTAGAGATTATAGCGTATTTCCACTGAAATAAAATGCGCAAAATATTTGATAGAGGCTTAAGCTGACATCTGAAATAGCTGCTACTTACTTTCAGCTATGAAATCCTCTAAAAAACCTAATGTAGCCTGCGTCCATGTGAAATAATGACCAGAATATTTAAAAGATGAACAGTGGGGAAAAAAAAAAAAAAGGAAATCCTCCAGAGAGCAGCCAGCAAGCACTCAATATTTTCTGAAACCAGTTCGTTAGCATAAAGTAATGCACCAATACTATATTTCATCAAATATAAGATGATTCTTATACCTTTATTTTACTATTAGAAATGACTAATTAAAACTGTTTAATTAGCTGACGGAGACATCCCAATTTCAATTTTTTTTAAATATAAGGAGGAAAAGCCTTAGAAAAAATTTCTAGAATTTTTAGGATGCTTCACTGAGCAGTGATGACTTTACTCAAAAAAATAAAACAAGAGACACAAGAAGTTTAATATTCAGTCAGTTTTCAAGATGGTTCAAATCTTTCAGAGATTTTGATTGTCATGTACCTGGCTCTAATTCCCAGAAGTAGATTGCAAAGTCAGTTTAATCTCTGAGGACAGAAAACTCTAATGATGACTCTCAGGATATACTTATCTATCCAATTAGAGGAAGAGCAGTCAATGAATATAAAGACATCGTGGAAGTCACTAGTACATGTTGCTTCTCACAAATAGCCTCAAATTATTTTCCTGCAGTTCTAACAGAGCCCCTCAACAAAAATAGTTAGTGTACAAATTTCTCAATTCTATGTGCAAAAATACTTGTCATATAAAACTATTTACCAGCACTTGCAATGGTATTAAGGGAAAAAATCGGCTTTTCTTCTGTCTTATAGGAGATGACAGACCTAGAATGACAAAAGCATATGTAAACTTCAACATAACTGTTAAACTGGCAAGTAAACATCTAGTTATTCTTAATATAGACAAAACATAATGCTCTGATTTCTAATTTTTCTTACTTGAATCGATTAAAGATGATAGACCCTTCATCAAATTCATATCCAGAGTTTAACAATTCAAGAGCAATAACTGATGCATCTCCAAAAGTTGGGGGCTTTCTTCCAACTTCCTTGAATGCTACCAGAAACTGGTCAGAGTGAGTCCTGTGAGAAAATCCAAAGAGTACTTAAAATCATTTACTATTACTTCTGCTGACAAACTTAGAACAAGTTGAAACTATTGTGATCATGGGTCAGGTTTTCTCGGGGGGCGGGGGTGTCAGGGCCACAGGCAGTGGTGGTGACTAAGAGTTGTCCCATGAATGATCAGGACTGATCCTTTCCTTCAGCACCTTTAAGGAATTAAAAGCTGGGGCCCACATTGTGGCACTGCAGATTAAAATCTTCACTAGAGATGCTCACTGGACTTTCTGGTCCTAGCTACTCTGCTTGTTATTTAACTCTTTGCTAATGCACCTGGAAAGAGGCAGGTAGGTGATGGCTCAAATACTTAAGTACCTGCCACCAACACAGAAAACCTGCATGAAGTTCTGACTCCTGGCTTTGGACTGGCCAAGCCCTGGCTGTTGTGACCATTTGGGGAGTGAACCAGTGGATGGGAGATTACTTCCTCTCTCCTCCTCTTATTCTGTCACTCTTTTTGAAATTAATAACAACTAAGCCTAAAAATTAGGCCTCTCTTGTCTCATGCACTCTGCCTTTACCAGGGGTCTTCAAAATGTTCATGGAAAAATGGGAAGGTTTTCAGTCTAGCAGTAAAGACTGTCACATCCCACATGGGACTACCTGGGTTGGATTCCTGCCTCTGGTTCCTGACTGCAGCTTCCTGCTAGTGCAGAAGCCTGGCAAGCAAAGGTGACGGCTCAATTCAAAGGCTTTTGCCATACAGGGGACGCAGATGGTATTCTCAGCTCCTGATTTCAGCCCCAGCCCAAACTCAGTTGCTCTGGGTATTTAGGTAGTTAACAATTTGATGGGCATTCTACTTCTGTCTACCAGTCCTATAAATAACAATATGCATTTGTTTTGGTGAAAATTTTTTGAAACCCACAGATTTTTTTCATATCATGCACTTTGCATAAAACTTTAGGACACCCCTTATATTTCTCTCCTTCTAATACTAATGAACTGTTGTTCATTTCTAACATTTTCAGGCTGTGATAGCTTCTCAGATTTTTTGGTATAATGCCAATAGGAAGAGTTTCCCCTCATATTCTGCTTTGATAAAAAGAAGCAATATACACATACACACAATAAAAACAAACAAGAAAGGAGTCTACGAAGATACTAAAAGACACTACGTTTAGAAGAACCATCAGGGGCTGTCACTCTAGTGAGCTAAGCTGCTACCTGCTTGGCATGGTTCAAGTCCTGGATACTCCACTGCCGATCCAATTCCCTACGAAATCAGCTAAGGATGGTCCAACTGCTTGGGCTCATGTGGGAGACCTGGAAGAAGTTCCTGGCTTTGGTGTGACCCAGCCCCAGCTGTTCTGGCCTTCTGGGGAGTAAGCAATGGATAAAAGAGCTGTCTCTGCTGTTCTCCCTAACTCTGCCTTTCAAAAAATTAATAAAGACTTTCATTTGTTCAAGTTGCACCCCTTTGAAGACAAGCCACACATATTGATATTACCTATACAGTATGCCCCTGATTTTGTCACCGATTCCAACCAGCATGACTTCCTTTCCAGCTGCTGTGAGTGTAGCCACCTCATTTTTCATCTGTTTAGCAACAGAGGAATGAATAGCACCACAAAGCCCTCGATCTGAGGACACACCAATAAGGAGGTGTTTCTTCTTGTCTTCAGGCGCCTTAATATCAGCTTTTTCATACAAAGCTTAAAACAACAACAAAAAAGGACAAGAATTTTAAATATGTATTTTACAAACAGCAATAGCTGTTAATCAACATTAAGACCTATTTTCAAAAGTATGAATTTTAAACTTAGAAGGCAAGTGATGAGTATGATCAGAAATGCCTGTGTTCTTATTCTAGTTACAACCAAAGCTTAAAACCATACATGTTTAAATCTGTACTAAACAGATTTAGGGGTCAATTATTGTCAAATTCCACTCATAATAAGTAATATAAATCTCTATTACATTAAACCATTTGTAAGAGGCCAGAATTACAGAGGTTCCTACCTGGGTTGATATCAGACGTGTAAAGAATGCAAATCTCCAATATACAACCAAAATTACAGAAAGCAAATACTTGTTGAGATGTTTATATGAAGTTCTCACGAAAACCACTAATGGGGCCCGGTGCAGTGGTCTAGCGGTTAAAGTCCTCACCTTGAACATGCCCGGGATCCCATATGGGTACAGGTTCTAATCCTGCCAGCCCCGCTTCCGATCCAGCTCCCTGCTTGTGGCCTGGGAAAGCAGTCAAGCTCGGCCCAAAGCCTTGGGATCCTGCACCCGCATGGGAGACCTAGAGGGAGCTCCAGGTTCCTGGCTTTGGAT